TGGCAGTCGAAATGGAAGCCCAGCACCTCATCACCTATACTGATTCTCAGTTGATAGTCAACCAAGTGAGAGAGAGTTCGAAGCAAAGGAATTCAAGATGCAAGAGTACCTGGCAATGGTGCAAGCCCTACTGACCAAGTTTTGCCATTTCCAAATCCAACATGTTCCAAGGGAAGAAAATGTTGTAGCAGATGCGCTAGCCAGATTTGCCTCATCATTAGAAGTCCCACCAGGATCGGCATTTGCTGGTCACCAATTTGAACCAAACAAACTGTAGAGCCCATTAATGTCAAATGCACATCTTCTTATTTGAATTGGATAACCCCCATTAAGGCGTACCTACAAGATGGCACACTACTAAACAACCCATTGGAAGCCAAGAAATTTAAGTTAAGGGCCTCCAAGTTCACCACTACAAGACATCCTGTACAAGAAGGGCTACTCCCTACCACTACCACGTTGCCTCTCTCTAGAATAAGCTGACTACACCCTGTGAGAAATCCATGAGGTTTGTGGAAATCATTCTAGAGGACGCTTCTTAGCCCATAAGGTGGTCAAACAACGCTACTCCTGGCCTAGCATGGTTAGGGATGCCCTAGAGTTCATCAAAAAATATGACAAGTGTCAACGCTTCACCACCGTGCCTAGACAACCACTAGAGGAATTGACATCCATCACAAATCCTTGGCCCTTCTCCAAGTGGGGCATCGACATCTTGGGCCCTCTACCCATCAGCCGATGGCAGTGTAAATTTGTGGTAGTAGCTATTGACTACTTCACAAAGTGGGCAGAGGCTAAGCCTTAGCCAAGATAACAGATATAAAGGTAAAGACTTTATCTGAAAAAACCTAGTCTACCACTTTGGGGTGCCCCACGCCATATTCAACAACAACGGCAAGTAATTCGACAACAAACTCCTGAACTCTTTCTACGCCGACCTCCAAATCAAGCAACCTCATTTTAACCCAACACACCCGCAGGCAAATGGATAGGCAAAGGTCGCAATCAAGACAATATTACACAATCTGAAAACTAGGCTAGAAAGAGCCAAGGGTCTCTGGATAAACGAGCTCCTAGGGGTGTTGTGGGCATACCAGACAACACTAAGAGTCCCCACTAACGAGACTCCCTTTTGCCTTGCCTTCAGAACAGAAGCAATCATACTAGTAGAGATTGGGATACATTTCCTAAGGGTCCAACACCACGACCTCATCACCAATGAAAAAGGCTTCTGCATCAACCTCGACGTGATAGAGGAGTAAAGAGAGATGGTCATGGTCCGAAATGTAGACTATAAACGCCACTTAACGAAATACTATAACTCGAGGGTGAAACATTGCTCTTTCTTACTTGAAAAATAATGCTCGCCACAAAGGACTCACAAGAAAATAAGCTTGAACCAAATTGGAAAGGGTCCTACACTATGATAGAGATAGTGAGGCTAGACACCTACAGAATCCAGAATTCTGAAGGAAAGCTCTTATCTCATCCATGGAATGTTGAACATCTAAAGAGGTATTATCAATATCACTTAAGGAGGATAGAAGTGATAAAGCTGAAGGACTTGATTTTATTTTTTTTCCTTTTAATCAATAGACTTGTACTTTTTTTGAGATTATTGCCCACCCCTACTTATTATGAGCAACCATCAAATAAATTTTTTTGAATTTACTCCAAAAAGTTGCCTTGTATTTTATTTCAAATAAATCTCAGATGAAATTTTGAAAGGCAAAGGCCACTATAACAAAAGTCAGAGCATAGTCTGACACTGTCTATCTACTAAAAAAAATTAAAAGTACTTAGTACTCTGACTACTCTCACTATTGTTACCCTCCTCCTCCTCCTCTGCTCCACCATCTAATTCTCCATCATCATCACCATTATCATCATCACCATCGTCATCATCACCCGATGGCCCCTTATGTGGAACAAACCCTGATAAGTCAATACCAAGGAAGGTAGCCAAAATTTTCCCCCTAAGCTCCTCGTAACTGTCAATAAAGGCATCCGCAAAGACATCCTTTAAATCCGCCTCAGCTCGGGAAACCCTCTCATAAGATGCCTCCAACTCTACCTCCGCTCTCAAATGGGCAACCTCGTTATCAACCTCCAGCTTAGCAGCCCTCTCGCAAGTTTGCCATAAGCTCTGCCTCTGACCTCGTGCAGGCAGCCTCACTACATGTGGCACTCTCACGTGTCGCCACAAACTCTGTCTCTGCCCTCGTGTAGACAACCTCACTATGTGCAGCCCCCTCACGAGTCATTATAAGCTCTGCCTCTGTCCTCGACCAGGTAACCTCACTAAGAGCGCCTTTCTCACAAGTCGCCACAAGTTCTGTTTGGGAAGCCTCACCATCAACCTCGAGCTTGGCAATCTTCTCCTGAGCCACAAGCAACTCCCTTTTTACAAGTTCATGAGTAAGCCTTTCCTCCTTAATGATTAAGTGTAACTGGATGAACTGAACAGCCCTTGAAAAAAGGCATACAGAAGCAGCAAAAACTTGAAAAAGATAAAGGAAGATCAACACCACAAAGGAGACACAAAGGCAAAGAAGCAAGCAAACGCTTACCTGAGCCAAGACTCCCAGAACGGTGTTAATAATGCCCTCAGTACCCCGAGCATCAACCTGGACGATCTCTACAGGTGACACAAATCTCCCAAGACAATCCCTTACAATCCACACGTCATCCAGCATGGACATCATCTGAGAGCATGCCCCTTACAAAAGTCCCTGCCGAAGAATTAGATTTTTGGGGAACAGGAGGAGCGGTCGCCTGGGAAGCATTTAAAGGGGTAGTCACCTTTAGAGCGATTGGAGGAACCTCTAAAGAAATCACTGAAGAAGCTATCTGGAGAGGAATTACTAGAAGGGTTATCTAAGAAAGACCTGCTAGAACATCATCCACCCTGGCCATCTTGGGTGGAGGAGTACTCCTAGTGGAATAANGAACCTCTAAAGAAATCACTGAAGAAGCTATCTGGAGAGGAATTACTAGAAGGGTTATCTAAGAAAGACCCGCTAGAACATCATCCACCCTGGCCATCTTGGGTGGAGGAGTACTCCTAGTGGAATAATGCACCTCATAATGCACCTTTCTCCATAATGCAAGAAATCCTAGCAAAACTCCTCAATCATTGGGCGATAAACGTACTAGCGTGAGTGAAAAAGAATGAAGGATCAAACAAACAGTAGAAGGTATGGGAAACCTTAACCCTGCCTCAAATACCTCCTCATAAATAATAATGTCCCCTTGGAGTCATCAGAGGCTAGCTCACCAATCTTAACCCGAAGGCATAACACTGTAGGGGGAATGTAAAAAGTGGATACAATCCTAGCAATCTCAACATCAGTGTTGAAGAAGCTAGAGATAGAGCTCACCTTAGAGCCATCATCAGTAGCCACTTTTCCACAATACTTGTGTCATCGTGGAAAAGACGGAACACTACCACCATCAGCTCTCGCCACTTGCCCAGTGCTTGTCTCCACACGCAGCTCATTCCTAGCACCTTACCAGAATGCCTGTGTCGCAGCACCTGCCACCTACACCCAGGCTTTTGTGCCAGCTTATGTACCTGCACCTACCCATGTGCCCATGTCGATCGCGCTTCTTCAACTACTACCACTGCCTCGACATCCGGGCCAGCCCAGGTGGCTGCGCCCTCCGCCACGGCTCCTGCCGCAGTCGCCGCCTCGATGCCTACCTTGCCCATGTCTGTTTCACTTACGCTGCCTTTTCCTTGCATCACTCTTCAAATGTAATCCGCTCAATGATGGGAACAAGAGGAAAGGAGAGGGACATATTTATAGCCTCACTTTGGAAGTTACCTAGTTAGATTGACATTCAAGTATCCTAATTAGAGTAGGATTGACCTTGAGGAGTTCCTATCAGAATGAGGATAAACCATATCAAAAAGAAAAAAAATTAGCCTCAAGAAAAATTTTTTGAATTAGCCTCATGCTTACCTTCTTTCTTTTTTTTGAATTAATTACAAAATACTCCTTCCAATTGTAAGTCATGTTATAATTAACTCCCACTAATTTTAATTTTAACAAATTGTCACTTCAAAGTTTAAATATACTTCAATTAACCCAAGTCGTTAATTTTGACAATGAAAAATAACAAAAATCAATCATGTGTCAGTCACAGAATCTCAAATAAAAATACTAAATCAATTTTACATCCTAAAAAAATTTTAAAAAAAAACATAGATATTATCTTTCATGATGGTGATCTTAAGAGTTATTGGTGGAGAAACTAAATGCAGCTAGAGGAAAGAAGGGTTTCGGTTGACGGGAAAACGGGATTTGTTGAGAAGGGAAGGAGGAGCCGAGATTAAGAAACTACAAGTGTTGGAGAGGAAAGAGGACTTTTTATACATGAGGAAATTTTTTTTGATTATGAATAATTTTATTTTTTCAACGAATCTGATATCATGTGCCTTGCACATGACTGACTTTTGTCATTTTTCACAATGCCAAAGTTAACTACTTAGGTTAATTAATGCATATTCAAACTTTGAGAGTACAATTTGTTAAAATTAAATCTAGAGGAATTAATTGCAACATCACACAAAGTTAGAAAGGATACTTTGTAATTAATCTTCTTTTCTTTTCCGATTCAACCATATAATTGTTCAAGTTAGCTTACTCTCACCTCGACTAATATCTTTCTCAATCTGGTCAAAATCAAGTCATCCACGTTAGGACTAGGATATTTGTGAAAAATAAATCCATCATAGTCTGACCCAAAGGGATTGTCTAAATTCAAACTCAATACATCTAAGTATGTAGCTCGTCCGCCATCCAAGCCGAGACTAGAATTTTCATGGGGGATAAATTTCTCAAAACTTGACCACAAAGAATAACTTATATTGAAACTCAAGACATATAAATTTGTAACCCATCTCTATTACTATCTGAACTACCTTTCGGAGGTTTCCATGCTTACATTCTACCAAAGCAACACAACTCACTCTTATTTCCCCATCCAATTACAGAAGCACGACTCTCTTCTATCCCCATCCAATTTCAAAGAACCTTTAATCTACAATCATCCATCAAAACTGAAACATAAAATTAAGAACAACATCTATCTAATATTACACCCCTCATATTTTATATCCTAGCTCTTCTCAATTTGAGAATTTTTAGATAGACAAACTCATTGAAGAAGAATATTGTTCATTTAATAGAAGATGGAAAAAGCTCTACAAAAACAGAAACACTACAACATTTTCCAAACTGCTATTTCTGCTTCGATTCTCAAAAGAAAAAAAGGAGAAAAAAGGATGAGGAAAATATTTGAAATACCCACTTTTACCCCCCTTCTTTTGGTTACTTTTTCTTCTCAATTCTACAAGCATGTGTACTTTCCAAATCCAACTGCTACTAAAGTTTCATAGTGGAGGGTGAAGTAGAGTGAATCAAAGATGAAGAGGAAGGAACGCCACTTCTTTCTCTACTACCACTGGTTGTAGAATCTGAAGGAAGAGATGACAAAGGGTGAGGGTTCAATGAAGAAAGAAACCTACTTGAATGGCTTCTCAGCTTCTTCTTCTCATAAGCTCTATCTTCTGCTCTGATAGTGCGGACCTTTGTCTCATTCAAACCCGCCGGAAGAACGCAATTGCAGAGGAAACCTTCAATATTCATCAAGATAAAACTGATTATTATTGGAATTAAACAATAGACTTTTGAAATTGTTTTCATATGACTTAATTATTTCCTGGTTGTATTCATGTCATTAGAATTCTCTGCATAGATTTAATTTTGACTAAAACTCCTGTTTCTTTTGCTCAGTTGCAAGTTAGCGACAATCAAACAAATTGTTAGTCAATCCAATTTCAATATGTCCCTTTTTTTCCTTTTTATTATCTTTTGTTCATTTGCAACTTAGCAATAATCAAGGTTATTCATCTTTTGGCCCTAGGTCACAAGTGGCTTCAAAATCAAGTGAACTCAGCCAACCGGATTCATTATCTGTGTTAGATTAGCCTTTAATTTTAAGATTTCAAGAAAATAATCCTCTAATTTTAAGATTTCAAGAATTTCATTCTCTAGGACCACCTCATTTGGTGATTTAAGACTCACTGGACCACCTAAATATTTTTATATTGTGGCGTATGGGCATGGCAAACTTTGTAACCCTAATCTTTTCTTTTGTTTGATACAAATTAGCATAAAAAAATTGGAAGCAACCACGGAACCTCATTCTATTTCTAACCTCCACTCCAACACCAACTCACTCCCCAAACAAACCAACCACACCCAAAACACAAAGGAAAAGCAAACAAAAGGAAATAAGACAATCCTAAAGAAAGTCACTACTTAGCCTCCCAGCTGATGTCAAGGGAATATATGGAATAATGAGATGATAAGTGAAAATTAAAACTGAATGTTAAAGAAAAATGTCAAGGCAAATATTTCTAACTGGGTTGGTGACTTATATGGCAAGTCAAAGCAGCTGTAAAGAAATTCAAAAAGCTTTTGAAGCAACCTACATGGCTCCAAACTACCACTACATTGTAAAATACATCCATACATACGGGTGGAGCTACGTTGCTAATGATTTAAGTGCAACAAAATGTGTACTACAAGCGTTCTAAGTACTTACCAAGTCGGGCAAGTCGATTGACCCAGCTAGGAATTGGCCTCCCCATCAATCGAAGACACGCATCGTTGCAGAAGTGATTGCAATTCTTAGTGATGAGATTGTAGGTGTTTCCCGAGTACTCCTCTGCTAATTTTTCAATGAATGCATGGACATCTTTTGGATCCATATCCGTTTTTCCAATCAAGATTGATTTTCTGAATGTGAAACCAGGGCACTGCTTTGGTTCCACTTCAAATATCCCAGTCGTTGGATGCTCATGTGCACCAAATGCATATTCTACTCCATGAACTGCCCAAAATGAAAAACCAAGAGAGTAATCTGAGAGATCCGAAGTTTAGCATCCAAAAACAAACAATAAAATCCATCTAATAAAGCTGACTCCTACCCACATTTTTTTGTTTGCTTACTAAGAAAATATGCAGCAGCAAAAGAAACCAATATATAAATACCAAAATTTCATTTCGTAATGATTCCTAGGCTACAGTAGGATCTTAAAGCAGGGAAATGAACGGAAATGCTTAAAAACGACTTGTATTCATGATCGTTTCTTAGCATTTTCGTTTGTTTCCCTGTGTCTGTCCATGATTCAAACGAAACCCAAGTCGTCACTACTTAATTGAGATTTACATCAATGATAATTGATTCCAATCAACCAAACCGAAAAATTATTTCACACCAACAATTTCAATTTTACTTCAACAAAACAAGCAACCATAGCAAATATGCAAAACAACATGTTCCATAAGCAGATATTATATTGGTTGGCAGGGAAAACATAATGAAGAAAAAGAAAATTTCAAACTTGAAATAAAGCATGTTTCACTTCAAGCTGCAAGGAGGTAGGCCAATGACATGCCAGCTTGACAGGCAGCCTCCAGTCTAATAAGTTCTCTCAGCAACCAAACAGATGGTGGAACTTATATGATTAATTCAAGTTTTTGGAACATATAAACATTTCAAAACCAACAATTCAAATGCAAAAGCAATACCCATCCAAATCAGAGTACCCACTTCTCACCTAATTCTCTATTTGGTAAGCTTAAGAATTTCTATAAAATAAAGGTTCACATGATTAATTGTTTTCGATTTTCCTTGCTTCTATTTTGTCAGCGACCAAACAGAAGATTAACAGCTTATAACCAAATTCTGGGTCATAATATGTAAAACCCATCTCAAAACAACGGAAAATAAGATGGAATGGGAAAAAACGAGATTCATTTTTTTCCATTTTTCTTCCATTTCCTTCATATTTTCTGGACAACCAAAAATCAATTAAATTAGGTACCTTGGACACCGGAGTGGTAAACACCGAGACCAAGCCAGTAAGCATAGCCATTGATGGGAGTCAGATCGTATACATTCAGGTACACCGGCACTTTTCCGGTCTTCCTTTTCCGGTGAATCATTGTACACAACATTCTATAATCTCTATCCAAACACACCCACCTCTCTCTCCTTCCTCTTTCTCTCTCCAAACAGAATGATCATAAATTTAAAGAAAATGAGGGGATTTCAGAGGCATATGGGGATCCGGCAATCGGGATTCTTCTTCCCTGGGAATCAGAATTTTGGCATTTTTTATTCATTTGTTTAATAAATTCAGAGGAAAGAAGAAGAAAGAATCTAAAGCTAAAAGCTTAGGTTGTACCGGCGACCGAAAGTGCCTGCACCGTGGCCTGTGCACCCACGGGAAAACATGAATGGTGTTATGTACAAAGCATTGATTGGGTTATGAAATGCCCCTGGTGTCTAGACAAACTACGAGTAGTGCCATTTTGTTCTCAGTAGCAACAACCCTCTGGGCACTTTATAATACTACGGAGATCATGCACATGTGCGAACGTGAATAATTTTAATTTTAAATTATAATTTTTGTTTTTATTTAATTGTTTGAAATAATCATATAAATACATAAGCCTATAAATATTTATGAATCAAATAATGTAATAAACTTACTACAATTCGTATGATTTATATTGAAATATTTTCAGAAAGAATATCAATTTTTTTTTCTATTAACCCTAACATTTTTGATTAATTATTTTCTTATGAAATTTCATTGCCTAAGATTTAAAAATTTTGACATGAAACTAATATTTTATATTAATTATATTTGCAATATCAGTGTAATAACACATATACATATTACGGTATATGGATATATAAAACAACTAAACAAAAACATGAATACTTATTGAATTGTTAAAACAAAACATAAAGAAAATGGTTTTAAGCTATGATACTTATACAATCATACACAATTAAAAGAAAGTTAGGTCGTAGAAATGAAATACGTAATTAAGTTCGTTGCAGTAAGCAAATCAATTTAATCATGAACATTCATAATATTAGTCATTATCCAACAAAAATAAGAACAACCCTACTCTACTGTTACTACTAAGAGGTTGCATTGATATACAATAGAAGAACATAAAAGGATGGGGTTTGATATTATTATTGAGAATACGTGAAAATAAATATATTTTATAATAATATATGGTTCATAGTGTCTGTGTTCTTAGTTTAATCATCAACTATTAAAAATAAGAAAAAAATTCTAGCCACGCCTCTTTTAGTTTACTATATCTTCAATGACATCCCCTCTCTTATTAAAAATATTACTAACACCTCTAATTTATATTTAAACATCACTGATACCCCTAGCCATTAAATCACCATTTATAAAAAAAATTAAATTATCTCAAATACCAAAAATTACCTCAACATAAATTCCAAACAATTTTTTACATAAAATTCGAGCTGATTAAAATTCATTTTTCTACATATTAAAATTCAATTTGATTAAAAAAAATTTTAAAAATTAAAATTTAAGTCGATTAAAATTCAATTTGAGCTAATTTAATTTTAATTTTTTTATTATTAAAATTTGATCCTATTTGATGAGTCTGAATTTTACTAGGCCAAGCCCAATCTAAATGAACCGAAAAAGGCCAATAAAAATCCAACCGGGGCTAGATCAACTGAGGAGTCCAAGTCACAGGAGCCCAAAGGAAGTTGGACCTGCTCTTAAATCAACAAGGACTCATGAGGCCAAAAATCAACAAGGAGTCCAATGGAGCCCAAGCCAAAAGGCCAACGTCCAAGAGGCGCACGTCCAAGAGTACCCCAAGGGGTAGCCGCCCATATGGTCGTCAAGTGGGCGTCGCCCATGGCCTGCCCTCCTGCTCCTTTTCTGTCCTCTTCACTACAATGCAAGTTCAAGTCCAACCTACTCCAAGTCCAAGCTCAAGCCCAAGATCAGGGTCATCCTCAAAAGAAATAGGAGCACGAGGGAGAAAACATCGAGATAGGCACGGAGATTTCCTACCACAGCTGTACTTATTAAAACAGTAGAAGTCTTTCTCCTCACGTCATCGCCTCATCACACCTATATAATGTAAGCCCTCTCCATATAGAGGGCATGCTCTCATAACCTTGAGATCCCTACACACACTACACCTTCCTATACACATTGCTCTCTCTCTCTCTCTCCAAAGCACTGTAATACATCGGAGTTACTCTCCCGGTGACACTGTTCATTAATAAAACACCACAGGCCACCGTGGTCGTTCCCTGAAGTGGAGTAGGTCACTCGGACCGAACCACTATAAATCTTTGTATTGATTCCATATTTATTGTTTTGTCATTGATTGCCTATTTACTATTCATTAATTGCACCCTTACATATATTTAAGTGTTGATCTTGCACGAAAATAATTTTGTGCATCATCAATTTGGCGCCGTCTGTGGGAAGCGACTAATTTTCCTACTCTTCCAATCTATGACAATCACTACCCGATCAATGAGCCAACAACTGGGAGACAACAACCCCGCCCACCAAGAGGAGGCTCCGCCTCCCCTCGCATCTTCGGAACCATCTGCTACGGCGACCCCTGTCGTCGGACAACAACTCCTCCAAACCATGCAGTTACTAGTAAGCCAGAACCCACAGATCATCCAACTCATGCTTTCCCAAGGAGACGTCACCCCTCCTCTTGTAGGAGGAATCCCACTCCCCCCACCAGGAGAGGAGCAATTGTCTATCCCTTCTGGGCGCTAGGCGGCCCCCCACCATGGAGCCCCTCGCCAAAACACTCCAGGACCACGCTAGGGTAACCCTCGCCCAGTCCCTTCTCAATGCACAGGGAGTTCCCAAGTGTCCCCTCCTCATGAACTTGTGCAGGAGAATGAAGATAGAAAAAGTCAATACGGAGACCATGAAACCCAAAACTACCACCCAACGAAGGATATCCCTAACCAATGTGACGAAAAGATCAAAGAAGTGCAAAACTAACTTGGTGATGCCCTCAACTCCATCAAGGCCCAGGCGCTCGAGACTGTGGACTACCTGGTAAGACATACCGACACTCCTTTTGTTGCTGACATAGTAAATTACCCTTTGCCCCTCGAAGTTTAAGATGCCCACCATTGAGATCTTTGATGGCACCAAAGACCGCCTCGACCACCTCAACACATACAAGTCCCTCATGCAACTCCAAAATATGCCTGAAGAGATTAAGTGCAGAGCCTTCCTTACCACCTTGAAGGGGTCCGTCCGCTAGNCTCTCTCTCTCTCTCTCCAAAGCACTGTAATACATCGGAGTTACTCTCCCGGTGACACTGTTCATTAATAAAACACCACAGGCCACCGTGGTCGTTCCCTGAAGTGGAGTAGGTCACTCGGACCGAACCACTATAAATCTTTGTATTGATTCCATATTTATTGTTTTGTCATTGATTGCCTATTTACTATTCATTAATTGCACCCTTACATATATTTAAGTGTTGATCTTGCACGAAAATAATTTTGTGCATCATCAATTTGGCGCCGTCTGTGGGAAGCGACTAATTTTCCTACTCTTCCAATCTATGACAATCACTACCCGATCAATGAGCCAACAACTGGGAGACAACAACCCCGCCCACCAAGAGGAGGCTCCGCCTCCCCTCGCATCTTCGGAACCATCTGCTACGGCGACCCCTGTCGTCGGACAACAACTCCTCCAAACCATGCAGTTACTAGTAAGCCAGAACCCACAGATCATCCAACTCATGCTTTCCCAAGGAGACGTCACCCCTCCTCTTGTAGGAGGAATCCCACTCCCCCCACCAGGAGAGGAGCAATTGTCTATCCCTTCTGGGCGCTAGGCGGCCCCCCACCATGGAGCCCCTCGCCAAAACACTCCAGGACCACGCTAGGGTAACCCTCGCCCAGTCCCTTCTCAATGCACAGGGAGTTCCCAAGTGTCCCCTCCTCATGAACTTGTGCAGGAGAATGAAGATAGAAAAAGTCAATACGGAGACCATGAAACCCAAAACTACCACCCAACGAAGGATATCCCTAACCAATGTGACGAAAAGATCAAAGAAGTGCAAAACTAACTTGGTGATGCCCTCAACTCCATCAAGGCCCAGGCGCTCGAGACTGTGGACTACCTGGTAAGACATACCGACACTCCTTTTGTTGCTGACATAGTAAATTACCCTTTGCCCCTCGAAGTTTAAGATGCCCACCATTGAGATCTTTGATGGCACCAAAGACCGCCTCGACCACCTCAACACATACAAGTCCCTCATGCAACTCCAAAATATGCCTGAAGAGATTAAGTGCAGAGCCTTCCTTACCACCTTGAAGGGGTCCGTCCGCTAGTGGTTCTCCAAGATTAGACCTTCCTCCATCTACTCTTTTGCAAAATTGAGTAGGTCTTTCGTCTGCCACTTCATTGGGGGACGCCGACATCAGAGACCAGTGACCCACCTATTCACCATCAAGCAGGATATGGATGAAAGCCTTCGTGACTACCTTGCCCACTTTAATGAGAAGGTGCTCCAAATTGATAAGCCGGATGATAAAGTAGCCTTGGCTGCCTTTATCGCTGGTCTTCGCACCTCCAGCTTCATGTTCTCCGTACTCAAGAAGCCACCCTCCAGCATACCGATTTGCTGTCTAGGGCATAAAAATATATGAATGCTGCGGACGTCACCAAAGCCCATAGAGGTGAGTCCTCTCGAGGGGAAAAAAAGAAAGATAGTCGAGAAGACAAGTGGAAAGTAGAAAACAAAAGAAATAGGACAGAGAGAATCTTTGTCATGGATCGCCTTGGTCCCCTACCTCTGCGAGAGCGGCAAGCCTTTACACCGCTCAATGCTTCGGTGGACCACATCCTAGTCCAGATACAGGATGACCCTGCTATCTGTTGGCCCGAGAAGATTAATTCTGACCCTAAGCACCGAAATCCCAGCAAGTACTGTCAATTCCACCGCGACCATGGCCATGACATGGACGAATTCTTTGATCTTAAAAGGCAGATCGAAGAGCCTATATAATGTGACTAGTTGAGGCAGTACGTTGTTGGCAGAGGACAAGCTCCTCCACCTAGCTGAGACCAGGACAACAGAGAACGCCAACAACTCCTCAGGTAAATCCAGACGATCGCCTAAGGGCTAGGAGGAGGTGACTCCAACTCCACTAGGAAAGTCTTGGCCCACCTATGGGATACAGAGCACCTAAAGATTTTATCTATCCTTTATCGCTTTAGTTAATTTATTTTTTTATTTATTCACAAAATAAAACTCTATGAAGATCATTGTGTCCAAAATTGTCTTTTTCTCCTAAAAATTGACAAACAACTTACAGAGCATGACCTAAAAACAAGGTATAGACAAAAGGACAACAGTCATCAGTTGTCATACTCCGGACGATCAGTCACTGCTCCTTGAGCCACAACCACTATAATCAAGGCTCTCCCCA